CCGAATATTCCTCTAACCATTAGCTTGCTATGAGTGAATGTTGAGCAAAAAGAAAGCCCTGACACATACTTAGGGCCAGACAGAATATGAGGACATTTTTTTGTAAAAAGTTTATAAAAAATCTGTGGATTTATGTGGAAGAATTTTTGGGAGTATCATAACTAAAAATGGAATATGTTTAAAAAAAAAAAAAAAAAAAAAAAAAAAAAAAAAAAAATATATATATATATATATATATATATATATATATTTATTTATTTAATGTTTACAATGCAAAATCCAATTAGATCAAATTATTTGGAAAACAAAGCAAGTCTATCTCATAATATATCTACTAAAAGACAGAAAATATTACTGAACAAACTGTATTGCAAATAAATCATATGAACATTTCCATATTAGTGAATAATATTACTGAAAATAATTTATATCTTAATCTGAAATATTAATTAATAAACATTTACACAAGTATACAAATAGACTCAATAATGGGCTAAAATCTGCAGATTTCTGTGTGGGCATACCCATACTCAATATTCAGTTTCTGTTGGAAATTTATCAACATACTGAAATAAGTCTCACAGCTTATGGTTCAAAAACTTTAATGTTTCATGAGCAGCAAATCAGCATGAGACATGTGACACTAAAGACTGGATTAATGATGCTGGAAATCAGAGGAAAAAAGTAAATTTTTGGTCACACTTTATTTTAAGGTATTATTACCAACCATTAACAGTATCTTTTAGCTAAATAAACGTTTGAGCTCTCTTGGCCACTGTACCGTACCTTATCTGATACTTATAAAAATCTCAAAAATATGGAAGACGTGAACTCAAACATGTCTCAAAACATAACTTAAGACGTATCGCCAACACATCCATCAATCAAAACTATTCCCAACCCACAATTCATTCAATCATTTTTTTTTCTGCTTAGAATGAACCTTCAACTTGTCTAGCATCTGTTTTACGCAGCGGATGCCCTTCCAGCTGCAACCCATCACTGGCAAACACCCATACACACTTATTCACACACATACACTATGGACAATTTAGCTTACCCAATTCACCTATAGCACACAGCTTTGGAATTGTGGTGGAAACCAAAGCACCCTGAGGAAACCCATGCAAACACGGGGAGAACATGCGAATTCCACACAGAAATGCCAACTGACTCAGCCGGGGCTCAAAACAGCAACCTTCTTGCTGTGAGGCGACTGTGCCAACCCAAAATGATAAAGTTAATAAAAAAATTTAATTAATTGTCAAAAAATTGTCAGGAATTGTATTATTTCAGCTCATTTTAAACAAGTAATTTGAACAAGCAGCAAAATTAATTCAAGCGAAGATGATGTTGTGTGTGTGTGGGGGGGATTTCAATTGTCACAGACATTTCTAGAACATTTTGTGACCTGATTTGTTTTCCGGTGCTGTAATATCCTCTTCGCCGGGCTATTTTTATACCTGCGTCGGATGGCTGGACTGGAGTCAGCTCACTGAAACACTAATGAAGACTAGAGAGGATGACTTAGTCTCTTTAATGGCTCAGTCTCACAGGAACAATGTTCAGGTCTTTAACCCACCTGCTACTGCTGGACCACCGCGTGTCAATTACACTCATGTCAACACTGCACTGCAATTCAATTTGCCAAAAGAAAGAATGAACCCGTTACGGGGGGTTCCACAAATAGAGTCTAAAGTGGGAGCTGAAATTTCAGTCTCATTTAAATTTTGAACAAGTTGGCTCTGAAAGGGAAGTCTGTGAGTGAGAAAGAGTTTGCAGACGTCAGGGGATTCATCTCAATGCTCTGTTTCAATTTATATTTATTTTAATGCTTTATTTTGTAGTCTGTTAACAGTGAAAACAGTTAAATACTAAGCAATTTTAAAGCAATATTTTGGATAGAATAAGTTATATGTATGATTATGTGTACTATTGTTTAAATCTGTCTGAGTCTCTATAACAGTTGTGTATATGTACTGGGTGGAACTTGACTTTTAAAATACAAAAATGTTTTTTGAAAAAATTCTGAATAACATCAATTATAAAGATGCCTCTTAAATTTTTTTCTTTCTTTCTTTTTTTTTTTTTTGCAGCCATTTGATGTAGTTACAGCGTCTACCGGCAGGGTCAGGCTAGCCTGTTATACACTTTTTGCCCTAAGCAGTTCTATTTGTTCTTATAAATTATGCCTCTTAGAGCTTTCAGGAAAACATCTACACAAGTAACTAATTATAAACTAGATGGTTGACTCTCCACCCGTGTTTGAAGCCGTTGTTAACAAACACCACATCTGTGTGTTGCTGTGGGTTTCATGCTTTATGCATTTTAGCAAAATGGACAGTTTCTCCTTTTTTAATGAAGTATGCAGTAAATGACCCTTCCCGGGATTACGTTTGCCTTATTCATCTTTCATTTTAAGATCACAAACTTTTTTTATCACGCATTTAGCACACATTTCTTTATATTACTGTCACAAATTAAATACATTTTAAAAACATTTTTAAAAGTGTATACAGTATATTGGAGCTATTTGTTTGTTTTTTCTTTGCATGTACATACTGTATGTATGTATTAGAGCTGCGCAATTTGTCGTTTCAGCATTGATATCACAATGTATTAATACACAATAGTCACATCGCAAGATATGCCGTGTTGAGTTGGGATTATAGTTGACCAGAACCCACAGGGTAAAACACACAACATTTGTGGAGTCACTGTAGAACTGAACCATAATATATTGAAAGTTTGTCATTTATATGTGTTTTTATTAATTCCTGTAACTGTGTCAGCATTTTAAAATAATTTAAAGAATTCAGGCATAAGAAATTGTATGGTTTGCAAGTGATAAAGATTATTTTTAATAAATTTTTTAAATGATGAAGACCTATTCACTGTTATTTTACATTTAATTATTCAATTATTTTACCTGAATACTGTTAAACTCCCCAGAAAACCACACATTATGTAACTTAATCTTTGCCCCATTTTATTTATTGACTGTTTATTTATGACTGTAGTTTGTTTATTGTATATATACATAATATAAAATAATATATAAACCTATACATGATTCACTCCCCTACAAAATCATCCCGATCAATGAATGAATGACTCACCAAATAGGGTTAAGTCATCTGGTAAAATTGTGTTCATATTGCAATATAATTTTTTTCCAATATTGTGCAGTCCTAGTATGTATGTATGTATGTATGTATGTATGTATGTATGTATGTATGTATTAAATAAATATTTATTTGCTTATTTAATTTACCTCAGTTTTTGCACATGCTGAAAAAGATGCTGGGATCCACACAATTGTTTTGTGTTGGGACAACATGAAGGAAATGAGTAAACATGCTATATTTTATAAATTTAAGTGGATTGATCATAAAACAAGTAAGTTTTAGCAAAAACACTCAATAATTGGGTTGTTTTTCATTTATTTTAAAGAAGTAGTTTGAAAAAAACAGCAAACATAATTTTTTGTGTGTGTAATTTGCCTTCCAAATCCCCCTGCTGGCCTCACTTACTCCCACACCCCTAAACTGCACTCCCATCCGGGTCACGGCACCAAATGCATCCTCTAGTTAATGTAACCTAAGATGTTATATGCAATTTTTTTTTACTAAACATTAAACACTCTCTTTCTTGCTAAATGAATTATGGTCACCCTGTCTAGTCATGCCTAGAGTTTCAGGCTGAGAACAGTTTGTACTGTAATGTCACTGCGCCATTCCAGTCTCGCGCAGAAACACAATTGGAACCATACCTGATTATTCTAAGAGCGGTCAAAGAGCTTAGAATGACCAAGAGGTGACACTCTAGTGTAATTTGGGAAACAGCCACTAGAGGGCGGCCATTTTGGAATGAATACTCCAATAGAACAACAGCATATTATAAGTCTGTCAAATAAACTATTAAAAGTGCTGATGATTGTGATAATAAGTGTTGTATTGTCGTCTTTCATGTTGTATCTCAGGTTTAATAAGCTTTTTAAATAGATAAATAAAAAACAAAACAGACAAGCAAGTGGTTGCCTTACCAACGTACACAATATCTCTATCTAATGACCTACGTAGTTAAATTTTTTTCCTCACATAAATTGATAGTATGTTGGAGGAGTTTTAATTATTATATATATATATTTTTTTTACATCTGTTCTTGTACACAATATTTTGACTCCCAAATTTCCCTGCTGGCCTTTGTTACTCCCCTAATTTACACTCCTATCCGGGTCATGGCACCAAATGTTACCCATTGTTATTGTAACCCAAGATGTTACATGCAAATTATTCTTTTTGCTAAATATTAAACTAGGGCTGTGCGATTTGGGGGAAACATCTAATTGTGATTTAATTTTGTAGTCAAGCTTTAACTCAATATTCAGCAAGCCATAGCAACAATTTTGCGACAGCTCTTAAAAATGACCTGTTTTTGTTTGGTGTCTGTGACTTTGAATATAGCAAAATATTCTAATATTACCAGTGCTGTTTTTTTATATATATATTCAATTATCTATTAATGCTTCTGAAGCAGCAGATGCCATTATCCCACTTGTCCACACTTTTCTGTTTGTTTTCTTTTTTGTGGGCGTTCCACATACTGTAGTTCTGTTGTTGGGCAGAACGAAATTCTGATTGGGTAGAACGAAAGTGCGCTTACTCATTTGGCTAGTAAGACAGTCACACACAGATGACAATCACACATTTGCTCTGGGCAGGGGAAATTAAAACATACATATGATTCATACTGCAGCCTCTTGCGATTTAACTAATCGAAACCTTTCAAACTGCTATTCGATTTCGATTAATCGCACAGCCCTACATTAAATACCCTCTTTTTTGCAAAACTGAAACATGGTCACCCTGTCCAACCATGTCTAGAATCATGCCATGCCGAACAGTACAACACAATAGTGGAAAATCTTTACTAAAATACAATATATAAAAGTTTTTTTACATAAATAAATGTGTCCATCTCTTGTCTTTGATTGCAGAGAACAGTTTTTTGCTGGGGAATGCGCAGATCGTGGAGTGGCCTATAGTTTACAGTAATGACGGATTCTGCAAGCTCTCTGGTTACCACAGGGCAGAGGTCATGCAGAAGAGCAGCACATGCAGGTCAGTGTCTCTCCTGTTTCTTTGTTCACACCTAGACTTATTTTGCACTCAATGGCAGACAGTGATGTGAGACAAATGGATAATCACAACTTCTCAAGCAAAGTCATGCTGGATCCAAAAAATGCATTAGTGCGTATCATAACTAAATCATGTGTTTTCACAGAATTGCATTACTTTGGATGCGGAAAGGAAGCATCACAAGCTTTTCCAGAGGGATTATGCTTGAATAGCTGCAGCTGAATCTAATCTAAAAACTGATGCAAGGCAGAATGAGAAGGAGAGGAAAGACAGAGTTAGATTTTTTTTCCCTCAAGTGAGTTCTCCTGTTTGGGAAAACATATCTAAAAATAAATACAGTTTATATATTCATTATATGACATTTTCTTTCTTTTAAAAATATTTCCTAAGTACTGTTTACTGTGTACTGATTTATAATTACAAATCTATGTTGTCTTTGTTGTGATGACAGTATTTTATTAACATTTGCCTAATTTTTTTTTGCAAGAGACAAATATTCTGTTTAACTACAGTTTAAAGGTTTAACTGGGTTTATTAGATTAACTAGGCAAGTAATAAGGTACAGTTGAAGTCAGAATTAGTAACCCCCCTTTGTGTGAATGATGTTTAACAGAGTAAGGAAATTTTTACAGTATGTCTGATAATATTTTTTCTGGAGAAAGTCTTATTTGATTTATACGGCTAGAAAAAATAAGCTTTTAATTTTGAAAAAAACATTTTTCAATCAAAATTATTAGCCCCTCTAGGCTAATTCTTTTTTTCAATAGTCTACAGAACAAACTGTCATTATACAATAATTTTATTACCCTAACCTGCCTAGTTAACCTAATTAACCTAGTTAAGCCTTTAAATGTCACTTTAAGCTGTATAGAAGTGTCTTATAAAAATATCTAGGAAAATATTAATCACTGTCATCATGGCAAAGATAAAATAAATCAGTTATTAATGAGTTATTAATACTATTATGTTTAGAAATGTGTTGAAAAAAAACTTCACTCCGTTAAAGCAGAAATTGGGGAAAAAATTAACAGAGGGGCTAATATTTCAGGGGGACTAATAATTCTGACTTAATGTGTATATGCACACAGACTTTTAATTTTCAGCCAGCCCCAGGGTTTCCAGTCTTTCCATTACAAAATTGCCACATTTAAGATCTGATTTCTTTACTACCTGATAGATATACGATATAAAGTGGGTTTCAGATCCGACAGGAAGAACTGCATTAAATTCCGTTTTCCCCGTCATGTCTTTAAAGAGCTCCTGTTATGGGTTTTTGAAAATGACCTTCCATGCAGTGTATAACACAGCTGTAAGTAAATGAAAACATTCAGCTGAGGTTTAAATCTGAAAGTGCACCTTAAAAAAATATAGATTTTTTAAAATAAAAGATTCGAGTCATTTAAATGATTTGCTGTTTGTCTGAATCTTTCACCTGTTTATATTGACGTCAATACGAATCAATATTAAATATGAAGTGCCGTATCTGGTAAAACGTGAATGCGCCTTACCTTCAGATGCTAGCAGAGTGCCGACACGAAGATGAGTGAACATTAATAAGTGAACATTCTGGTGTTTTATGCTATAACCTACCTTGCAACAGGAAATTTGTGGGCCATTTGTTAAAAGAAGGATAAGAAAAGACTATTGATGTATGGGACTTTGTCAGAACTTGACAGGAACTTAACCGTACATAGTTCATGTTTCTTCCTTAATTTCACAAGTGTAAGTGCAATTAAAATGGTTGCTTCCTTGTTTTCTCTAGCTTGCAAAATATATATTTAATTGTGTTTTGTTACTTGTAATCGCTCCACGTGGCTTGTACTGTATCTGGTTAACTTTTTATATTCAAATATCATGCCTAAAGCCATGTTGAAAACACGGTGCGTGCCACTTTCTTTATGGATTTAAATGCATTTGTGAGCTCGCGATCCTCTGCCATTTGTCATTGCTATGGCCACCGTCTGCTGTTTCTCTCACACACGTGTCAGTCAAGCAAAAGTGTAGTTCAGCTTTTGCCACCGTGTGGATTAATACTGAATGTGTGTCGTTGTTTTAATTTATGGTTAGGAATAGAGCAAAATGCTGCTGTTTAATGGCAATACTTTAATGCACTCCTGCATTGGGTTTACACACACTCAGCACTCTGACTACTTCAACAATGTTAATAGTGGGCATTTTTCTCTGTCTCGCGCTGAATGCAGTCGACTAATCACAACAGACTGGGTCATCGGACCAATCAGCACAGATTAGCATCGCGCTAAGGAGGGGTTTGGGAACACATTAATCGCTGAACAATTCATATGGGAGTCGCTGGGATAATTGGGTAAAAATAAATGCATTTTACAAGGCAATGAAAGTGTTTTTTGACCCTGCATGCATATCAGTCTTTTGTTGGAGACACGCAAAACCAAAATATGACCTTTTTAAATGCATAAAAGGGGCTCTTTACAATATGACAATTTATTTTACCTCAGTATTTCCAATGGAGTTTCTGTGCTAGCCTGTTACTAATGACGGCTCTAGCGATTACACGGTCTTTCATCTCGTTTTATGCTTAAACAACTTAATGAATGCTTAAATCTATTTAACTGAATGCATTTTGATAACATTACAACATTGATGCTGTCAAAAGCAACCTTGTTGAATTGAAAATAGTCACATTAAGTTTTCACCGGAAGTTTATCATTGGCTGAAAAACACTAGCTGAGCTAGAGCCCATTAGGCAAGTCACTTCTCTATGGAAAAAAAAATGGCCATTTTCTGTCTAATTATTACATTTAAAATACCATTAACAAAAAAAATTATTAAAATAAATTAACATAACATTGTTAGATTCTTTATTTAATATCTAAAATGTTTAAACAAAGAAAGCTAGTTAAAAATACATTTTTGAATGCATTAAAAATCATAAAAAAAAGATAAAAAATAGTGATTTTTTTAAATGAAATATATTTTAAGTTTTTAAAATGTATTTTTTTGAGCCTCACAATTAAAAAATATTTATATATAAATAATATTTAGATATATATTTTAGAAAAAAAAATATTGTACCATATGGGACTAGCTGCTATTTCTGCTAGCTGCACTGATCAGAATGCGGATGTTTCTCTAATGATTTGTTAAAGTGTTAAGAACCGAAGTGTGATTTTCTCACTCTGCTTGAGCTAGCAATGCCGCTAAAGCACACTTCTCACATCACTTCAGCTGCGTTAAGCCATAGTAAATCTGCCTGCGCTCTTTAGCCACTCCGAGAGCGCATTTCTCCTGAGCCATCACTGAACACCTTGTTAGCGCTAAATACGCTCAGTAAGGTGCCAATCATCAGAGCAGAAATAGAAAGACCAACTACAGTGATTTGGCTCTACCTACATGCGGCGATATGGATCTGCCTACAAACTGTGATATGACTCCAGATTGACTCAAGATTCAAGGGGAATTTTGGACGCAGAGCTGGCACAAGCCTTTGTCAGCTAAAGCAATAAGGGTGAGGATTTGATACGAAAAAATCTCCAAGAAGCTCACAGCCACAAAACTCAGCTGCCCTATAATTACCTCTGTTTTTGGTTGTATGGAAGCTGAAGTGATAATAAGATCCAAAAACAAACACCATCTTTAAGAGGAAACTGGGGGATTCAGTGCAGCGCTAAAGAGGTTGTAAAATCTCCCAGTCCTTATTGTAGTAAAGTGCTGAAATTATAAGGACTCAAGAATGCAACAGACAACAGATTAAAAAAAGACTAAAAGGACTGACCACTTTTACATTCTAACATTGTAGTAAAAATATAGTTTAATGTTGTTGTTTTTTTTGCAATATATTAATATACATATTATTGAACAAAACATTTTCACATTTTCAAGTGGTACTCACCTCTAAAAAGTAATTTTCTTACTCAGTTTTGTCTTGCTTTCCAATTATTTTCTAAATATTGTTCATATAAATATATCTAAATATAATATCCAACTTAAATGAGTTGCTTAAGAACATAATTAAAGAACTGTTTTTTTCTTTGAGGTTTTATCTCTCAATTTGTACTTTATTTTAATAAAACAGGACTTAATATTTGATTTTGTTTCTCAAATAGAGAAAATATGGTAACACTTTAGTTTAGGTCACAATTATTAACTGTAAAAAATATGGATGACGCACCTTTTCCCATTAAACGCTTTAAATGCAAAACACTAATGATCACAAATGTGATTTATTTATTTATTTTTTTATTTATTAATGATTTTTTTTGACAAATATTGCGATTTTGGATTTAATGTGCGATTTAATTTTGTAGTCAAGCTTTAGCTCAATAATCTGTATCGTGGCTTCTTACTGCTTTAATGCAGTGAGTGTTAGTTAAAAAAGAACTGAAAAGATATTAATTTCATTCATTCATTTTTTTTTTCGGCTTAGTTTTTTTATTAATCAGGGACTGCCACAGCGGAATGAACCGCCAGATATTAATTTACTTAAGCATTAATTCAAATGTATTTTTAAATAATCAGAAATTAAGCACTCATTTTTCTCTAGCGCAAACAGTAAGCACAAATAAAATGACCTTGCTTTTCTGTAAACAAGTTAAACTTAAATCCGGGAGATAATGTAGCTTATTGTAAAAACTAAATAATAATATTTATAAAAACACAGAACACTCAGCAAAACTAACATGGCTGAAACAACTCTGAAATTGTACTTTGCTGCTGTTTGTTACTAGATTGTCACTGGAAATACTTTCAATTGACTTTTTTGTGAGATACTCATAACTCAGTTGTGCTCACTCAATTGGCTAGTAAGTCTTTCTAGCCTGATCTCACAAGGAAACGTAAATATTTTACGTTTTGTCAGTTTAGTGGCTAATTCGTACGAATTCGTACAAGTTCAGTTGTACGAAAATGTAAAATTTTAAAAAGGAGGTGTGGCACCCAACCCCACCCCTAACCCCAACCGTCATTGGGTGATGAGCAAATCGTACTAATTCATATGAATTAGCCACTAAATCAAAAGTTATGAATTGCTGTGAGATAGCGTTGGTCCATCACACATAGATGGCAGTCACGCATTTGCTCTGGGCAGGGGAAATTAATTAAATTAATTCAATAATATAAATATATTTCATATAACAGTCCCTTGCGATTAGCTAATCGCTTAGTTTTAAATCGCAATTGCGATTCGATTAATCCACTGCCCTACTAGTTATTATAGACTCAGTTTATGAGTAGGCCCTGAGGTCCACCCTATTTTACCAAGGTCCCCCCATTTTTACATTTCTGGCCTCACTCCTGTCACAAAATGCTTTACAGTAAACAGACAACAAAAATCAAAACAAGTTAAATTCCGTTTGCAAATACCACTGAAGTGTATTAACAGCCAACCATTTTTTATTTGTCCAAAAAGATGTGTCCCATAGTTGTTAAAAAAGAAAGTTCCAGAGCCTTGGAGCCACAACACAGCAGGCACGGTCAACTCTTGTCTTAAGACGTGTTCTAGGAATAGCTAAACAGTCTTGGTCAGAAGACCTCAAAGGACCTCAACAGCCATAGGAGAGTGCATGTAAAAGTTCTTGGATATAAAAATACCTGGAATTTTAAAATGTACTCTTGAATTAATGGGAAACCAATGAAGGGCTTTAAGCACAGGAGTAACGTTTGACCTCCTGCTAGTGTTTGGTTAAAAGCCTTGCAGCTGCATTCAGCACAACTTGTAAGCTCTCCATAGATGATTTGTTCAAACAAGTGTGCAGAACATTACAAAAATCCAACTGTGAAGAGATAAAGGCATCAACAAATATCTCTTCTTTATAATCTTCACAATCTTGCTAAAACATAGAGCTGTTAAAACTTAGAGCTTTATTAAAAATATTATTAAATCATTATATTATATTAGTTCTATTAAATATGAGTAATTTTAGGGGTAGCTCTATCAATAATCAAACACTTCAGTTTTATTAGGATTAAGTTGCAAAAAGTTGTCAGACATCCATTTGGTAAGACTAAAAAATCCTGCGGTCTGTCAGGGCTAAAATACAATTGCAAATCATCAGCTTAACAATGATAAGATGTTAATTAAAAAAAAAAACTAATGATCTTACTTAGTGGAACCATATACAAACTATATTTCTTTCATATTTTTAGCACAAAAGAAGTTATTTTTAATAATGCTGCAAACTGGTATCCACTGATTTTCATACTTTCATTTCAGTTATCAACAGGCTTACCTTTAATATGTTCATTGTGTTCAACAGAAGAAAGAATAATTAATTAATAAATGTTAGTAAGCAGTTTATAACTGCAGCTACAAATGCTCTATTCTTGACCTACTAGCACCTATATATTGTGCTTAACAATTGTAATTTCATACTTTGCTAATGATTTATTTTTCATTACTAAATTAAGTATTGCATTATTTACAAACCAGTTGTATTTAAGAGTAGCTGAGGGGTTTTAGGATCATTCAGAATGAGTTAGTAAATGATTAATAAACTATTGAAATCAACATTTATATATCTTATTATTCAGGCATATACTAATAGTTAACTAATATGTTAATAAATGCTTTATTAACTCAAATTCATGCAGTTTTGTGACCTAATCTAAAGTAAAGACTATTTATGCTTTATAAATCCCTTATAAATGACAAATAAAGGCTCAGAATCAAATGAACAACAATCCTTGCGATCTTATTTAAAAAGTAAAATTACTGTAAAGTTTAAACATTGCTGAATAACAGGAGTGTCAAATACGACATAAAACTGGATAAAACAACAACAATATAATAATGTAACAATATATAGTAAGATGTCATGTTTAAACTCTATAACGATTTTATTTTATGTAAGGTTGCAAAGATTTATTTTTTATTTAAAGTACAGTTTCATTTGTGTATCTTTAAATGAATAGGAATGAATAACATCATTTTTCCTGTTTAGAATTTAACTGAGCTTTTATTTGTTGTTTATAAGGGATTTATAAAGCATAAATAGTCCTCACTTTAGATTAGGTAATAAAACTAGATGAAGATGAGTTAATAAAGCATTTTATTAACATACATTGTAACCATTACGATATGCTTGGTTGATAAGATATATAAATGTTGATTTCAATAGTTTATTAGTCATTTACTAACTCATTCTCAATGATCCTAAAAACCCTCAGCTACTCTTAAATACAAATGGTTTGTAAATAATGCAATACTTAATTTAGTAATGAAAAATAAATCATTAACCAAGTATGAAAGTACAATTATTAAACACAATATATTGGTGTTCATAAGTCAAGAATAGAGCATTTGTAGCTGCAGTTATAAACTGCTTACTAACAATTATTAATGTAGAGTTAATGCTTAACAGATAATGAATTCACTATTTGCTAATGCTTAATAAATGATTTATAGTGTGTAGTTATTATAAAGTGTTACCGAAAGGAACTCTAACAGGTTTGGAATCACTTGAGGATGAGTAAATTTCATTTATATCTTATTTTGGCAAGCTATCCCTTTAATACACCTTTTACGTAACATTAAGGCTAGATCTGGTCGGAACTGTGGCTCAGTGCGTACTGTTTGTCCAGCCTCCACAAGTTCAATAGAGCGGCTACAGTAACTGACAGCTTGTGTCATCAGCCACTCCTCCTTGTGCACACTCCGTCTATTAATTGACAGTGAAAGACAAGGTAGAGTTGACTGGGCGGATGTGTGTGCCACACAGGTGCGATGCGCGGCTCTCCTTACTGTCTTTTTCTGCTCTCTTTGTCTCACTCATTTTCATCACTCGTTTCTCATAACCTTTTTTTATTATTCTTTTGTCTCTCTGTCCCCTTTGCAGTTTCATGTACGGCGAGCTGACAGACAAGAAGACAATAGACAAAGTCAGACAGACCTTTGATAACTATGAGTCCAATTGCTTTGAAGTGCTGCTCTATAAGAAGAACAGTGAGTATTTCTGCTGGGATTGTTGTGCCTGCTGCATCTGGCAGAAAAGTGAACGTGAAGAGATGCAATTGTGCTCTATGTGAGAAGCTGCATTCCTGAAATGAGGGAAAATGACTTGTTTTTATTTTGTGCATATATAAGTTCAGTTACATCCCAGTAGGCACCTTTATGTTAAAATGACATCAAAATGCATGTCAAAAAATACATTTATTTTTAATTTAATGTCAATTGACAACCTTTTTTATATGCTGTACAGTTGAAGTCAGAATTATTAGCCTCCCTGTTTATTTTTTCCCCAATTTCTGTTTAACGAAGAGCAAATTTTTTCAACACATTTCTTAACATAATAGTTTTAATAACTCATTTCTAATAACTGATTTATTTTATCTTCACCATGATGACAGCAAAAAATATTTTACTAGATATTTTTCAAGACACTTCTATACAGCTTAAAGAGACAATTAAACGCTTAACTAATAATAATATTAATAATAAAAATTCCTTACATTTATATAGCGCTTTTCTGGGCAATGTGTAAAGTGCTTCACACATTGGGGGAAACTCCTCATCCACCACCAGTGTGCAGCATCCACCTGGATGACGGGATGGGCAGCCTGACCGCACACCACACACCAGCTGATTGGTGAAGGAGAGACAGAGTGATGAAGCCAATTATGATATGAGGATGGTTAGAAGGTCATAATTGACAGAGGTCAGTGGGCAAAATGTGCTAGGATGCTGGGGTTAAATCCCTACTCTTTTTCGAAGGACATCCCACAGTTTGAGCGCCACTTGCTTGTCTCACATACACCACCTCTAGCTAGTTTTACCATGTGGTCTCCAGATACTGAGCGGACGTAGCCCTGCTCAGCTTCAGTGGGCGACCATGCGAAAGTTGCAGTGAGCTACCTGTCGGCAACTAGGTTAATTAGGGTAACTAAGCAGGTTAGTATAATAAGGCAATTTATTGTATGATGATGGTTTGTTCTGTAGAAAAATAATATAGCTTAAAGGGGCAAATAATTTTGTTCTTAAAATGGTGTTTAAAAAAAATTAAAAACTGCTTTTATTCTAGCTGAAATAAAACAAATAAGACTTTCTACAGAAGAAAAAATATTATCAGACATACTGTCAAAATTCCCTTGCTCTGTTACACATTATTTGGAAAAAAAAAAAAATCTAAGGGGGGTAATAATTCTGACTTATTGAATTTTTTGATCGCACTTTACAAAAATGTTAGTTCTTCCTATTTCCTTTTTATTGTATTTTAACATGTACATACACATTTACATGTGCCAGATATAACATAAACCAGCAAGCAAACAAATGAACAAACAAAAGAAAAGGCTTCTCAGTATTGATGTCAAAATGACATTAAATTAATATCTACACTAGTGTCAAAAAACAATAAAAAGATCAATAATCAATCCTTTAATCGATATTGGTAGGTTTTATGATGCCAATGTTAGATGTCAATTTGCTGTCATTTTGCCATGAAAGTAGTTTACATGCATTCTAGGGATACAAATAAATCCAGTGTAAATTTGTAATCTGTAATCAAACGTTTCTTATATTATAAAACTTTTTTGTTTTCATTGTGTTGGTCAACTGGACATCAAGGCTTTGGCATCAAATCAAATAGCATTTTTTACGTGCCGTAGCTTTTTTTAAATGAGGTTTATGATGTTTTATTTTAGATCAGGGTGCCTGCTGGGATGTTTAAGCAGATCACAGGTCTCAATTATACTGTAAATTTGCTGGCTAATTTTAAACATTGATCTGCATTATCCTTTGCCTGCTCACATTTTCAGTATTTTTCCTATTCATTTTTTTCCCATAGTGATTGCAAAAAGTCTTAATTAAACCAAACAAACCAGCAACAAGGATAATCACAACATTAAAAAGTTTGATTTGATGCAAATAAGTACATGGAAATCAGACCAAAAAAAAAACAAAAAAAAACCACGCAGCCAAAAGTACTGTAAAAGTGATTGAAGAGCAGCTGCCTGCTTCAGCCATTGCAGATTCTCCAGAGCAGCTGCACAAGCTCAGATGACAACTCAGTTATTTCACTATTGTCCAGACCTAATGACGACGCTGATGGCAAGTGTTTCATGTTTGTTCTGACACTTTAAATTCTTCATTACTAGGGCCAGACGGAATCTTTTGACAGTTTTTGCTATTTCTATGCAGAATTTTGTAACAAATCTGCAAATTTATGCTGAATAATTTTGGGAGGATCGTAACTAAAAACTTTAAATATGAAAAGTATGAAAAAATTATACTTTTTACATTTTTATTTAATGTTTACAATGCAAATCCTATTAGATCCAATTAATTGCTAAACAAAGCAAGTCTCTTATATGATATCTCTATATTACTTTACAAATTGTATTGTAAATAAACCATAGGAATTTTTTTTTTAAATTAGTGAAAAATAACACTGAAAATAATAAAAATACAGAATATATATGAATTCACACACATTTACACAAGTAAATAGACTTAATGATGGGCCAAAAATCTGCAGAAATCTGCATATTTCTGTGCGTGCAGATTCCATGTGGGCCTACTCATAACTCAATGCTTTATGACAAAACACTCTTAACTCATTAATAATATTAATACTTTCTTGGGTCAAGTTTATAAAATAAAAGTGATAATTTTATTTGGCTAATTTTATTCTGCTTAAAAAATCGTTTAAATATGGGTACACTTTGAGTCTATTCTTTGGAGGCAGCATTCCAAAGGTGTCAAGGCAAGTCCGAATCCAAATTCTGCTTTACTTCCATTCTTTGGAGGTTCAGATGTGCATCTCATAATGCCATGCATACCATTTCTGAGAGTTAAAGGTGCTGTATGTTTTTGACTCTTCTAAGGCATAAAAATACTATAATATGTTTGCAGATATTTAAGAAACATGCTAAGTGAACATTCTTGTTTATATGAAAAACAATGCTGAAGTCAGATATTCTGCTTTGGAAATGTATTTTCCATACTGGAACACTGTCTTTGTTTTAGTTCCTTTAATCCACCCAATGACAGTTTAGCCAATTATATTTCAGCACCCTGGGCAGTGTTGCCAAATTGGGCGGTTTTGAATTTGATTGTGCGGGTAAAAAATGGCATTGCCGGGTTGACAAATTTAGGCAGTTTTGAAATGTAAATTTGATATGTTAACCCTGAATAAAGCACATGAGGTGTACCTATGTGAACAGCACCGTAAGTTTAAACTGTTGTTTAGCTGCAAGAAATAGAAGCTGTTTCTAATATATCAATTTAGGGTGTTGGTTACAACAAAAACTCCTTTTAATATGAAAATATTCTTTCTATTACATCATTGCTTTTATTTAGAACATGGTTTAAATCAGCCTTTGGGGTCGACCGTCAGACTTACTCCTGTTGCTCAATCTGGCCACCTGCACTTGCGTTATTTTGTTCCAGGAATGCAATCCTAATTCAACCACTGGGTGTCAAACTTACATACCGCATCTTTAATTAAAAAAATTAAACATGGTATCTTGAAGAACAGCTTGAGTATGTTTAAATGTATTTTGGGCCACACAAAGGCGCAATTGGTAGCACAATCGCCTTAAAGCAAGAAGATCGCTGGTTCGAGCCCCGGCTGGGCCAGTTGGCATTTCTATATGGAGGTTGCATGTTCTCTCCGTGTTCCTCCGGGTGCTCCAGTTTCCCCCACAAGTCCAAAAACATGCGCTATAGATGAATTTGGTAAGCTAAATTGTCCGTAATGTATGTGTGTGAATGAGTGTAATTGAATGTTTTCCAGTGATAGGTTGCAGCTGGAAGGGCATCCAGGATAAGTTGGTGGTTCATTCCACTGTGGCAACCGCAGGTTAATGAAGGGACTAAGCCGAAAAGAAAATGAATGAATGAATGAATAAATGTACATGTTTGGTCAACGTATTACACTGGCATTTCTAGATAAAAGTTAGTGTTGTAGTAAGCAAATGATTCCTTAGTTATCAGTAAAGCTCTCTGTTAATAGTCATACATGATTAAAACATTATGCTGTCTCAGTCATCTGTCTGAAATTATTTTAGAAGGTGCATTCATGCCCCAACGCTGCCTCCAGAGTCACTGATTAAATGGATAGACATGGTCAGCAAACATACTCAATAGTTTAACTAATGTTCATTTGCTAAAAAGTCCAAATCTCACCGGCCATGTGAGATTATTTTCATGTTGTTTTCACTAAATTCTACCCATACTGCTCAAATGTTTGCTATTTTTGTCACCAGTGTGCGGTTCTGTTTCTGTAACTCATCTGCATCAAAGTTCGAAGTGTTGTGAGTTCAGAGACTCAGCAGGCCGTGGTTGTAGCAAGAGCTTATTTGAGTTACTTTTCCCTTTCTGTCAGCTCTGAGCAGTCTGGCCGTTCTCCAAGGCATTTTCGCCCACAATACTGATGCTCACAGGATGTTTTGTCTTTCTAGCCTGTTTATTTGGGAACTGCTATGTAATTTGATAATTTTCACGGTATCAAGGTATCTTGTAGTTTCAAGGTATCTTGCATTTCAGGGCACAATTGCATTGTCTCTTCTCTTGAACTTTATGAATGTAGCGTCTATATATATATATATATATATAAATCTCCCCATGTTGCCTCTATAAGATAACATTGTCCTGTTAAGCTCAAATGTAATGACCCATTGGGTACATGGGTTACACTGTACATTTCTCATAGCTGTTAACCAAGGACCTTGGTCTCAATGATTTTCCTGTCCTCTTTATTTCCCAATTCCTACCTTTCTCCTGCAATCTTTATTCACCACCATCTTCTCATCATTACTCATTCCTCTGCTTGCCTTCCTTTAACCTCTCTGTCACTTTCACTTTGCCTCACTTTTCTCATCATTTCCATCCATGTCTTTTATCTGCCTGGTCATGACTTCTTTTAAACCCTCAATTTTGCTTCTTTTCACGTACCACTTTTCATACTTTCCTTTCATCCCGCCCATCCCTTTCTCTGCCTCCATGCGGTGCTGTCAGGAACACCTGTATGGCTCCATATGCAGGTGGCCCCCATCAGGAACGAGAATGATAAGGTGGTCCTGTTCCTCTGCACTTTCAAGGATATCACTGTCTTCAAGCAGCCCATAGAAGATGAGACCACCAGAGGTAAGAAATCTAATCTCGAGTACTGTTATTTCTGGCTTGTGGTAGTTTCATTAGCACCGAAAAACAGATTCATTTTGAAGGAACCACATATGTATTGAATATATGTCAAATGTTTACATGTGAAATGTCATCTGGAGGAACAATCAAGTTTTGTCAGATCTCGTCAGATATTAGATTCTTTTTTAAATGTCATGGATAATCCTGAGACGTTCACTTTTGTGGGTGTCGTGGTGTTGACACTATGGGATTGTTAATATCCACCTCACCATGTTGACCAAAGGCCTTCTCCAATAAGCTGTGCTAATAAGATTATGAAGAAAAAATAAAGATCTGGGTATAAATAACAAGTCCCAGAGGGGTACATCCTGCATCTTTGTACAGTGGCCAATCTCCTTTGAGGCCAGTGACCACTGGTGCGATAGCAAACTCTGAAGCTAGCATAATTTAAGTAAGGCACACTAAATAAAGGGTGGCGGCAAAATGGGTTGTGCTATCGCCTCACAGCAAGAAGGTCGCTGGTTCAAGCCTCGGCTGGGTCAGTTGACATTTCTGTGTGGAGTTTGCATGTTCTCCTCGTGTTCGCGTGGGTTTTTTCCAGGTGCTCCAGTTTCCCTCACAAGTCCAAAGACTTGTGGTACAGGTAAATTGGCTAAGCTAAATCGTCTAAAGCTAAATTGTGTGTGGGTGTTTCCAAGTGATTCAGTGCAGCTGGAAGGTCATCCGCTGCGTAAAACATATGCTAGATAAGTTGGCGGTTCATTCCACTGTGGGGACCCCAGATTAATAAAGGCACTAGGCTGAAAAGAAAATGAATGAATGAAAGGGACTCCAGCCTACGAATCCTAGATTTTTGATATGGACAGATACCCTCCTAAAAGGCCAAGAGCAGAGGTATCAAGGGGAAATCACAAACATTATGTCAAACTACTCTAACCGGCCACGAATTTAAACAAACAAATTAAGTTGAACATTAACATTATAATTAGTGGTGGGCTGTTATCGGTGTTAATATGCTGCGTTAACGCGAGACTATTGAGTTGGGAGCTGGGTCTATTCTACGCAAGTTATGGTGACTATGGAGCGCGGATGTATACCTGACTGGTGAGCCGTCTGACAAAAAAGTGCCCTTCTAAATCAAATCAGCAGGATGTCTGACTTTAACTGCAGTTTGGCAGTTTCACTTTAACTCATGAACATTTTATTCTTGCCGCCATGACAAACTGGGGTATTAGACGCAAATAAGGAGTAAGGACTGGTGGGAGTGTTCTGAAATTTAATAACGCTCACCAAATGGAAAGAAAAAAACTTCTGCGTTTTGTAATGTGTGTGTGTGCGGTCCTTTACTGACAGCCACGTGTGTGGATCTTATCGGAAAATATTGCGAAAAGTCCTACATGACGTTAATAGTTTGTTCGCGGTGTTTACTTATATGCATACTCCACATGTCTTAATTTAAATTCTGTTTATCAAACTCAAAATCGCTGTTTTGAGCTTATGTAGGCCTACAGTTCAAATCTCATGTTTAACTGAATAAACAGTGAGTAAACACAAGTACATCTTATTGAACATAATTTATTTACATCACCAATGATCATAACAGAACAGTTTCTCAAGCAGTTTGTGAAGCATTTTGGACACAGGCTTGAGAAACCCGTTCTCAAAGACTTATTATTTGGGTAGCACACATATTCTGAATGCAGAATTCAAATGAGTCATTTTAATCTAGATAAACTCCGAGATTAATCTAGATAAATCTAGATTAAAAATTAATCTATGCCCACCTAGAATTATAACATTATTACATTTCATTTGTTTGTATAAATTCAACCCATATAAATTGTTTGCAATTCAATCATTTTTTTAGTGTACTGTATGTCTTTTGACTGTAAGGGAAACTGGAACACTCAGAGGAAACGCACACAAACACGAAGAGCGTGCAAACTCCACATAGAAAGACTTTCTTGCTCAGATGGGACTGGAACCTGGGACCTATTTGCTGTGAGGTGTTATCAACTGAACCTCCGTGCCACCTCACCAAAACAAATGATTTCGATCCCACTTTATATTAAGTGGCCTTAACTAATTTGTACTTACATAGGAGTTAATAGTTTGTTACAATGTACTTATTGTGTAAATACATGTATTTACTGTGTACTTATGCTTGATTAAATACATGTATGTAATTAACTTTTGTAATTACATTTGTAAATACACTATTGACGATCCCTTACACCTTAACCTACCCTTAAACCTACCCATACCACCAAACCTGTCCATAACCCAAAGTCTATTCTCACTCAAAAGCACCACAAGTGTTCTCAAATACATTATAAACACAGTAAGTACATTGTATTTATTTTTTGATGTAAGTACATAGTAGTTAGGGCCACTTAATATAAAGTGGGACCATGCTTTCATTTAAATGATTTAAAATAACATAATTAAAATTATTTCAAGTGTATTGATCTTATTTTTGATAAAATTTAAATTTGTTTTACTGGTAACAAAAGACAAAAAAAATATTAAGGTCAGTCGGAAGTGTTTTTGTGGGGGATGTCTGTGTGGTGCACCCTGCTTGGCACAATAGAGCATGGTAGTATAATGAGAGCGACAAGCTGTCACTTTATGTTGCAGGGTTCTGCTTATGGGCAGCTCTACAGTCAGCCATGGATTGTTTTTTGTACATGTGTGTATTTATGATTGATGCCATTGTCAGATACCACTTTTTCATCCATTTACGCAATCTTTCTGCTTTCTCCATCTCGATTGCTCATAAACCAAGGGCTATTTTCCTTGTCAGCTTGTGGCACTGCTAAACTGAAGTACTTGTCCTATGACAGTGATCCTAGCCCACACAGGAGCTCTCCAAAGACACACACGCACACACACACAAGCACACACACACACATATATATATATATTTGGAATTTCCCCTCAGAGACTTGATGGCAGCTGCTGTCACTTTGTGGCAAGGCACCTGTGCCCAGCTGAGACTCTTGTCAGTGGGTGTGTACAGAAAGAATGGAAGTAGCATTAGAGATCAGTGAGCATGGGAAATTCCACTGAATCAGATGGATAGACCATCCAATGTATTGGCCGCACTGATATGAAAACACTGTGTTTGTTGTTAGACGTGGAAGCATAAAATAAATGTTTCAAAAGGGCTTTGAAGAACCATTTTGAGTAACCATTAAGTAAACATACAGTTGAGCAAATAGTGTTCATCAGTATATTGTAGAGGTGTAATGGATCACAAAATTCAAAGTTCAGATTACATAATGGTTTTTTAATCATGGCTTGGACCTTTTTTTGGAATCATCCAAAAAGGGGAGGGGACTAATGGAATTTGCTTTCCATTTATTACAGAAACAGTACTGCAAGACACTTTTTGTTTTAACAAACAGAATCTGTAATTTTATTAAAAATAATATGAAGAAATAATGAGCTGAATAAAAATAAACTGTAAAATATTTAGTACTGTAAAAAATTTGCTGTTACACTGTAAAGAAACCCGTAATTTTACGGTTTATTTCCAGCAGCTGGGGTGCCAAAAATAAACTGTAAAATAACTACTGTTAAATTACAGAAATTTACCATAAATACCGAACATTAAATTACAGAAAGTTCCTGTAATTCAACCTTTGTCATTTTGCGGTAAATTTTTATAATTTAACAGCCGTTATTTTACGCTTTTTTCCGACACCCCAGCTGCCAAAAAAAAAACAAAAACAAAAACAAAAACAAAAAAAACGTTAAATTACTGATTTTCTTTACAGTGTGCTATTACTGTAACTCATGACGCTAAATTTAGACATGTAACATTATTGTACAACCCATTTATTTATTTAGTTATTCACTTTTAAAACTTTGTTTTATTACTAGATGTGTCATTTTGTAATTATTCAGTGGCATATTTTTGATGGCTGGTTGGCACCACCTATTGGTTAAATAATGTAATTGCTACCTACAACTTTCAAATTTGAGCAAATGACACAAATAAAATAAAATTAAATAAAATTAAAATTAAAATAATTTAATCTTGACCATAAACATCAGTGGTTATCTAATCTATAAACTGTTATCCCAGTACTTCTGTGTCGTTTTTTGACTGTTGTAACTTCATAGCTAACTCATAGTAAAAACTGAATCTCTTTCTTAATTTTTGCATTTTCAAACACAGATTTTAATGCAGCGATTCGAAGGATTAATAAACATATACAAATCAGCATCATTTTTATGTTGAATCGGTGTTAAAATCCCAATATTTTAATGATTAATCGCGCAGCTTACACTTAATGCATTAATGCAGGCTAAACAAGTAGTGACAGAAAACACCTTTAATAACCTAAGAAACCCACCACATCCTAAATAACCTACCACAACTTCTTCCGTTATCATTATATTTTACAGACAAGCCTAAATGCTTTCTTACATGTGATTTTAATGATGTGAGAGGTGATCTTTCTGCGATCGTTACAAATTTAGGAGTAATCTACAAAAAAAAAAGTAATAATTCGCTGGTGACATGTGTTTTGAATTGTGGGGTGTGATCTGTATGAATACTCCTTGTATATTGTATTCATGCATTTGGTCTAAAAGTGACAGTAGCCTAATTAACCTACTCCTGTAATTAATGTTAATCAGGCAACAACTACAAAAATTCTTTAATCTTAATTCTTTAAAAATTGATTTAATCAATTAAATCTTTCTGTACTGTATGTTGAAAACTTAATCATATAAACAGGCTGCTAGTCTCCTTTAGGAACATTAGTACATTGAACCCTATTATATTTTAGGCAACAACATCTACTGTACCACCAATTAAAAACTTCAGATGACAAAAATATGACTGAAACTGATAAAAATTATTTGATTTAGGCTCATTCCTAGTCTTTTAAATAAATGATCATTTAGTTTCAGTCATATTTTATTCATCTGAATGGTTTTGGTTTATGGTACAGTGAATTAAGTATATCGGCTCTATCACTCTTGAAGTGAAT